TTCTGACCCTATTAACCCTTTCTAACAAAGAACAAGACTAACAAAAAAAAAAAGAAAATATTAGTAATACAAAAACAAGAAAGAAGTGAACTGGCACTTATCTTTATACTAGTTCCAAGTTCAAGATTCTGATCCTAGCCCTATTAACTCTTCTCAGCGAAGCACAAGACCTATAGAAAAAAAAAGAAAGTATTAATAATACAAAAACAAGAAAGAAGTAAACTAGTACTTATCTTTATACTAGTTCTAGATTTAAGATCTTAATTCTAGCTTCTATTAACTCTTCTCAGTAAAACACAATACCTACAGAAAAAGAAAAAAAGTATTAGTAATACAAAAATAAGAAAGAAGTAAATTGGTACTTATCTTTATATCAGTTCTAGATTCAAGATCCTAATCTTAGTTTTAATTAACTCTTCTCAACAAAGCACAAAACCTACAGAAAAAGAAAGAAAGTATTAGTAACAATACAAAAGCAAGACAAACTGGTACTTATTTTTATACCAGTTCCAGATTCAAAATCCTAATTCTAGCTCCTATTAATCCTTCTCAGTAAAGCATAAAATCTACAAAAAAAGAAAGAAAGCTTTAGTAACAACACAAAAACAAGACAAACTAGTACTTATTTTTATACCAGTTTTAGGTTTAAGATCCTGATCCTGGCTTCTATTAATCCTTCCTAATGAAATATAAGATTTAAAGAAAAAAAAAGAAAGTATTAATAACAATACAAAAACAAGAAAGAAGTAAACTAGTACTTATCTTTATACTAGTTCTAGGTTTAAGATCCTAATTCCAGTCCTTATTAATTCTTTCTAGTGAAGTACAAAACCTAAAGAAAAAGAAAAAAAGTATTAGTAATACAAAAATAAGAAAAAAGTAAATTAGTACTTATCTTTATACTAGTTCCAGATTCAAGATCCTGATCTTAGTCCTCATTAACCTTTTTTAGCAAAGCACAAGATCTAAAGTAAAAAAAAAAAAGTATTAGTAATACAAAAACAAGAAAGAAGTGAACTAGTATTTATCTTTATACTAGTTTTAGATTCAAGATTCTGATTTTGGTTCTATTAACCCTTCCTAGTAAAGAACAAGATCTACAGAAAAAGAAAGAAAGTATTAATAATACAAAAATAAGAAAGAAGTGAACTAGTACTTATCTTTATACCAGTTTCAAGTTCAAGATCCTGATTCTAGCTCTATTAACTCTTTCTAGTAAAGCACAAGATCTATAGAAAAAGAAAGAAAGTATTAGTAATACAAAAACAAGAAAGAAGTGAACTAATACTTATCTTTATACTAGTTTCAGATTCAAAATCCTGATCCCAGCTTCTATTAACTCTTTCCAGTGAAGTACAAAACCTACAAAAAAAAAAAAAAAGTATTAGTAATACAAAAACAAGAAAGAAGTAAACTAGTACTTATCTTTATACCAGTTCCAGATTCAAAATTCTAATCCTAGCCCTTATTAACCCTTCTTAGCAAAGCACAAGACCTACAGAAAAAGAAAGAAAGTATTAGTAATACAAAAACAAGAAAGAAGTGAACTGGTACTTATTTTTATATCAGTTTCAAGTTTAAGATACTGATTTCAGTTCTCATTAACCTCTTCTGACAAAGTATAAAACCTAAAAAAAAGAAAACAAGCATTAGTACAATATAAACAAGAAAGAAGTAAACTAGTACTTATCTTTATACCAGTTTCAGATTTAAGATCCTGATCCCAGTTTTTATTAACTCTTCTTAGTGAAGTATAAAACCTACAGAAAAAGAAAGAAAGTATTAGTTACAATTCAAAAACAAGACAAACTAGTATTTATCATTATACCAGTTTCAGGTTCAAGATCCTAATCTCAGCTCTTATTAACTCTTCTCAGCAAAGTACAAGATCTACAAAAAAAGAAAAAAAGTATTAGTAATACAAAAACAAGAAAGAAATGAACTAGTACTTATCATTATACTAGTTCCAGATTCAAGATCCTAATCCTGGTCCCTATTAACCCTTTCTAGCAAAGCATAAGATTTAAAGAAAAAGAAAGAAAGTATTAGTAACAATACAAAAACAAGAAAGAAGTGAACTAGTATTTATCTTTTATTAGTTTTAAGTTCAAGATCCCAATTCTAGTCTCTATTAACCTTTTCTAGTAAAGCACAAGATCTAAAGAAAAAAAAAAATATTAGTAATACAAAAACAAGAAGGAAGTGAACTAATACTTATCTTTATAAAGTTTCAAGTTTATAATTCTGATTTTGGCCTCTATTAACTTTTCTTAGCGAAGCACAAGACCTAAAGAAAAAGAAAAAAAATAGTAGTAATACAAAAATAAGAAAGAAGTGAACTAGTACTTATCTTTATATCAGTTTCAGATTTAAAATCCTGATCCTGGCTTCTATTAATCTTTCCTAGTGAAGCATAAGATTTACAGAAAAAGAAAGAAAGTATTAGTAATACAAAAACAAGAAAAAAGTAAACTAGTACTTATCTTTATACTAGTTCTAGGTTCAAGATTCTAATTCTAGCTTCTATTAACCCTTTTCAGCAAAGTACAAGACCTACAAAAAAAGAAAGAAAGTATTAGTAATACAAAAACAAAAAAGAAGTGAACTAGTACTTATCTTTATATTAGTTTCAGATTCAAGATCCTGTTTCTGGCTCCTATTAATCCTTCTTAGCAAAGTACAAGACCTACAGAAAAAGAAAGAAAGTATTAGTAATACAAAAACAAAAAAAAAGTGAACTAGTACTTATCTTTATACTAGTTTCAAAGTCAAGATTCTGATTCTGGCCCATTAATCCTTTCTAGTAAAGCACAAGACCTACAGAAAAAGAAAGAAAGTATTAGTAATATAAAAACAAGAAAGAAGTGAACTAGTACTTATTTTTATATCAGCTTTAGGTTCAAGATTCCAATTCTAGCCCCTATTAACCCTTTCTAGTAAAGCACAAGACCTACAGAAAAAGATAGAAAGCATTAGTAACAACACAAAAAAAATAAAAAACAAAAAAAAATGAACTAGTACTTATCTTTGTATCAGTTCTAGGTTCAAGATCCTAATTTTAGCTTTATTAATCCTTCCCAGTGAAGCATAAGACCTTCAAAAAAGAAAGCATTAATAACATCAAAAAAAAAAAAAACAAAAAAAAATTAACTGATATTTATTTTGATATCAGTTCTAGATTCAAAAAGTATTAGTAATAAAAAAAAAAAAAGGCAAAAATATAAAAAAGAAAAAAAATAATAAAAGATCAAAAAAAATATATATAATAATAAATAAAAAAATTGAAGAAATTAAAAAATATTATCATAATAGTCTTAATATAATTTATAACTCTATTAAGGTAGATAATGATGGTAATCTAAGAATTTCTTCTAATGGGAAAGAAATTTCTATAGAGCAAGAACTTCCTATTGAAGAACAAAAGTTTGCTAAAGAGATACAAAAATATCGTAACACAATAATTTATGAAATTGATGGAATCAAAAACTTATTTCATAAGACAATAAATGAAAAACTTCATGATATTAAAACCACAGAAAAAGATAAATTTGTTAAATCACTGAAAGAAATAATAAATAAAGATGTCAACAACAGTAAGAAAATAGATATGGAACATATCATATTCATTATATTTGCAATATTCGATAGCGAATCTTTAGTATTTTTGAATAACATAGCAGGAGATTATACTAAAAAAGTAAAAAATTATTATAAGAGTGACCTCGAAAAAAATATTAAGTATGACCACGAATATATTGATCAGGAGAAGAGTGACCTCGAAAATGACGATAAAAAAATTGATCGATATATTGAAAGATTTATTATAATTAGAGTATTGGTAGAAATTTTTTTAAAGAATATTCCACTTATTATTATTATGGTATGTCAATAAATTTTATTTATTTATTGAACGTATGCAATTTTTGATATAAATATTCAAATATCTTATTTTACATCTTGTTTAAATAGGGGATTTATAGTTCATCAATAGTGATCTACTCTTATATGCCGTTAATGGCATTAATAACGTCCTGCCTGAAATGTTTTGCAATTATTGTTATTGTATATCGCCGTTTAAGAGATCGATTTAGGCAAATATATGAACGAATCCTAATCCAAATAAACAAAATTATATCAAAAAAATAATCTCGATATTTTTGCAAATATATTATATATAGCAATAAAATATATACCATTTTTTTTAAAATGAAGATTGTTAATAAAGTTTTTGAGATATTAATTGGACAGAGTTTGGGATTTTGGCGCTGGCAAACCAAAACTATAATTGTTTGGGATTTGGGCAGCAAGTACAAATTGGCATTCAAATTAAAGAAAATTTTTATCCATATATTGCAGCATGTTAAGGTTTCGTTATTGTCAAAGTTATTTACGCAAAATATGGGGTCTTTGCCTTGAAAATCATGTTATGGGACATATTTATCATAACGTGATTTTCAAGGCAAATATCTCATATATTATTATTATTATTACAGTATTATTATTCAATATATTACTATGATCAGCACATATATGTATCAATAAATTTATCATCTTTTTTATATTCTTTATATTAATGGTGTTTACACCACCCATATTATTCAAAATTATATGAATGTAAAATTAAATTAATACATTGACCAATCGAACAATTGATTTTGTCCATCGCATAAGGTAGCTGTGCTAAAACCAGGAATGGTTACCTCAAAACTACACCAGACATTTTTGCAGTAAAGCCAATCGGAATTCGTAAATTTTGATTATACCAGATCAGTCCGATGTCAAAACGAAACACGTGCGCAAGAAAAAGCAAAAATACTCGAAAACTGGTGTTTAAATCGGCCTTTTAAACACTATAAAAAGTGTCGGGAACAAAATTTTTCATCTACTAAAAAGAACTTCATAGCTCTAACCACGAATCTGAACCCAAACCAGGGACCACGAAAAATATTGATTTATTTATATCAATACAAATCGATATTTAGGCCAAATCATAATTTTTAATGCAGTGTAACAATACTACTACGGGCAAAATTAAGATTGTAATTTGGGCCGAGCAACATAAATTTGGCCAACCTGAATTGTCGGCAAGTTTCGAAAAAGTAGACAATCAACAATCAAAAAACCATGTTCGCTGATGAACTTTAGTTACTGATTACGTTATATTACGTTACACCAAATATTGCATTCTAATTGGCCAATAATGGGCAAATCGGTATAAATCGATATTTTTGACTAAATCGATAGATATTTTTGCCAAATCAAATCGATATTTTTCGTTCGGGTGCGCTAAATTGATCGAAACTATATAAGGTCAATCGATAAATTAATAATAATAAATTTTCTGAAACTTGTAGCTCAAATTTTTTAATAATATAAAAAGTTCTGTAATTTTCTTCTTATCTCTACGATTATGATATATAAAAAATTTGAGTGAAAAATAACGGGTTAGTGAACCTAAACATCTAATTTTGCAAAATCCTTAACCAATTCATTTTATTATTC